AATAATAATTGAAAATTTTTTTATCAAGTAAAAATACTTAATAAAATTATATACAGGGAAAAAATATTTTAATTGTTACTTATATAAATCATTAAAATTTTATTTAAAATTGACATCCTAAAAGTTAAAAAAATCAAAAGATAAAAAAAAAAGTTAAAAAATCAAATTATATTTATTAAAAATAAATAGATTGAGTAATACTAATGACAATTTAATATTTTAATTATTACACAAAGGGGTATTATGGACATTGTAAAACCTTTTGATACATTTGTGATGGATTTAATTAGAGTATTTTCACCTATTAAAGACTTAAAATTGAGTTTTCACCAAATAAGAATTGAAAGTTTAATAAGGAAAATGATAAAGGGATAATCTTTTTGTATATTTTTATTATACAATCTTATGTGTCGTTTAAATGATCTACTCTTTTTTATTATTTTGAAATCCATGATATTGAATATATCCCTTCATTTAATGATATGTAAAAGTTGTATGAAAACGTGATACAAAAGGTTGTCTTTGTATTATTGCTTATTTAATGAATGCAGTATTAAGTAATTCCCCAAAATAAAAAGAAACTCTTTTTACCATTTTAATGTATAGATTGTATAGAATTATAAAACATGATCATTAGATGAGAGAGGGTATTAAATATTAGAAAGTTTAATTCTCATTTAATAATTTATGTTATATAATTTTTGTTCAACAGTGTTAGTGATATAGGTGGATGAGTTAGCAGCGGTGACGATATGGAGGCTGACTAAGATGACACTCGAAAAAATGAGAGGGGTTCTTTCAACAACACCCGTCTCATGTGCAGAAGGCTACATGTTACATGCCATCCCGTTCTGTTGGGCAATAATATCTTGCGGTGCACTTTCCAACAAAGCTTTTAAAAAGATAAATCTTCCAGCCAAGCCAGTAGAGCTGGGCAGCAATGGCGAGACTTCAAGGGTTCAAGATGATTACACAACTTCAAAAACATGATGGGGAGAAGTTGTATGTTGTTAAGGAGGGGCGGCAAAGATCGAAATTACATCTAATTCAAAGATTACAACTTGAGGGTTCTATTCATTCATAAATCATTGTAACATGATAATAATGATAATAAATGCAACCTCCTTCATCTCTAGTGTATATCTTTACTTTATAACAAACAACCATCATATTGAAAATGAAAAGTGCAGCAAGTTCACTCTTGAGATTCTTCTAAAGACAAAAGGATAAACTTGAGAGTGGTGCTGGGAGAATGAAGAATGACCACTTGGGAGCTTACAAATACAGCACTTGTTCTCGTTTTTTATGCTAACCTTGCAACCCAGATAGTCTGATGCTCAAGAAGAATTACCCAGAAGCTGAAACTGCAGTCTATTGTTTCCTAGCCATAATATTCTGCGAATCTGAAAATGTTCTGCGGTGCTAGGTGATATTCTACAGTGCTAGAAAATGTTCTGCAAAGCTAGAGACACAGGAAATTCGAAAGAATAGTGATTTTCGAGGGTTTTAGTGTGCAAGGCAATAGGTTGAAGGTGGGATATTTTTTTAGAGGAAAAATGGGAGCTTCGATAAGTGAGGAAGAAAGGCTAAAGTTGTATCTCTGTCTGGTTTTGTGTTGCATGCGTCTACATGTTCTTAAAAAATGCAGGGCAGATAATTTATATATATATGCAGTGGTATTGTTGTAATTTCTGGTTGATGGCTTAGAGGTGTGCAGACATGTTTGGGTGAGCTGTCGAATTTTCAGTGGCTCATAGTACTGCTGGCAGCTCTTATGACAATGGCATCATGAATTGCCCAATGGTTCCAGCGAAGCTTTGCTAGTTCTGGTGAAGAAATGGAAATTATATATTTTTGGCAATGCCTCTAGTCATACGAAATCTCATCTTTAAGGAGGTGCTTGAGTGCAATCGGCAAAAACAACATCTGCACAGGATTTGGTAAGTCCCCCAAGTTTTGCACGGGAGTTTGGAGGATTTTGCAAGCAAATATTAATCTTTTGCAGCAGTTTCCAAGGTCATGGAACTTATGCAGCCACCTCTGCATTAAATATGGCTTCAAGTTGCTAATGGTGACCAAGATAGCATCTCTAGTTAGTTTTTTAATGGTATTTCCAGCCTTTGGTTAGTATCAAATGGTACTGTTTTGGGAATTAAGTTTGCTCCCACGTCTTTACCACCCAGCCCTTTCTGGCGAAGTCGAGCAACATCGTTAGCGCCAAGCTTCACTAGTGCAGATGCCTTGCTTCGCCAGATAAACAACGTTCACCCATCCATGCCTGCCAAGCCACTACCCCGATAGTTTATCCCGAGTAATTCCTATGAGCTTGAATTCATGGATTTATGTTTATTTGCAGCAACAACAAAGCACATGTGAATATATGTTCAAGTATTCAAGCATTAGAAATGTATAAATATATGCAATGACAAAGGGAACGCCCTTGT